GAGGGGCATTTAGCAGAGAGCAGGAGGAGGAAGAGGAGAGGCAAGAGCAAGAGCAAGAAAGCTCTTGAACAGGCTGAAGAACCTGAAGTCTCCTTGTGAGAGCTGACCGGAGAGCGAAGCTGACTCTACTCTTCGTGTGAGAAAGCGGAGGTAGCGATTGAGGAGGAGGAGGAGGAAAAAGAAGAAGAGAGGAGGAGGAGGAGGAGGAGGAGGAGGAGGAGGAGGAGGAGGAGGAAGAGAGGAGGAGGAGGAGGAGGAGGAAACACGTAGGAAAAGGAGGGGAGGGAGCAGTGGAAAAGCAACAACGAGGGGACCCGAGAAGGAGGAACAGGCTGACTAACCTGTCCGCTTGCTCTATCATGCTCTGAATCTCTGTTGGAGATAAAGCCTGTCAAGCGTCATTACATTGATAAAAACCTCTTGCAACCCCTCCCCTATCCCCCTCCTCTCTCCCCCTTCCTTCCTCTTCTACCTCTCTTTCCTCTCCTTCCTTCATCGTTCCTCTCCGTCGGTTTTCCTCCCTCTCCCTTTCTTCTCCCTCTCCTCCCTTCTTCTTCCCCGTCGTCTTCTTCCTCCTTTTACCTCCATAGCCTGCACGTCTCCCTGCCAGACTCGCTGCTCAAGGGAAAGAGCAGAAACTCTGACGGAAAAGAGACGAGAAGTCAGAAAGAGGAGTGATAACAACAAGAAAGGAAAGAAGAGAGGTAAGGACGAGAAGAGGACGAAAAATTGTTGAGGAAGACGTGAAGGTGTAAGGAGGAGAACATGGTGAAGAGGAGAGTAAGAGAGAGACAGAGACAGAGAGACAGAGACAGAGAGAAAGAGACAGAGACAGAGACAGGGAGAGAGACAGGAGAAGAAAAGAGGATCAAGTCAAACCGATCAAGAGCAGCATTCAGGAGCATTTCCTTCTCGGAGAGCTGCACGAGACGATGAATGAAAAACCAACTCATGCTCTCTCTTACCTTCTTGCTCAAATCCTCGTTGGACCGTGACAGCTCTGAAACCTACGGAAGACTGTGAGGAGGAGGAGGAGGAGGAGGAGGAGGAGGAGGTGATGTGATTCAGATGGCTGGACTATGCGGGGGAAAAGGGATAGTTATGATGTTTACGAATGAGAATCATAACAAAGGAGAAGAATTGAAGAGCAGGTGAATGGAAGGTATTCAAAGGAAGAAGGAAGAAACAGGGAGGGAGGAAGGGGAGGGGGCAAGGAGATTGACAAGCTCTTTCAAACCTCCTTTCGATGTGCTTGTTCCATGACGACGAGGGTTTCCAAAACTTCGTGCAGCTCAACATTTCCCTTGTCAACAAGTCAGGAGAGGAAAAGGGGAGAAAACAACATAGTTCTTACCTTCTGCTCTTCCTCCATCTTCTGACATTGCTCCTGTAATGCACATGCCACGCTCTCAGTTGACGCTGCAAGTCAAGCACGCAACCTGTAAACTGTTCAAAGTGGATGCGACGTTGTTGTGAATGTCGCTGTGAGCATTCATCTTGATCCTGAGAGAGCAACATCAGAGCCTGTCTCTAGTCTCTCTTCATCATCACCTATGGGAAGATACAGAGACGGTGGAGTCATCTAGACTTGTATCATGGGAAGGAAGACAAAAGTTCGAGTTGTTCTCCGGGAGGAAGAAGAAGAGGAAAGGTTTGAAAGTTCTGCTTCATCATGAGCTCACGAGAGTTTGGTCAACCGCTCCTCCAACTCTCTCTCTCACCGCCTCCACCATTCTTGCCAGCAACAGCAGCAACAGCAACAGCAACAGCAAACAAGAACACCAACACCAACAGCAAACAACAACAGCAACACCAACAGCAAATAGCAACAGCAAATAGCAACAGCAAATAGAAGCAGCAGCAGCAGCACCAACAGCAGCAGCAGCAGCAGCAACTTCAACAATGTCGTCCGCTCCTCGCTTGCTCCCCCCCCCTCCTCCTTCTCACCCCAACGCTTTCTCTCGTGTCTTGAACACGCCTGCGCACTTCCTACGGACATCAGCCCACGACATTCCGACCCACGACACCTCCGACTCATCCTCGTGCAGCGTCCATGCCCCGCTCACGTCCTGCTTCAGCATGAAGAAGCAGTGCCCCCTAGCTCCACAGCGACAAAGCATAGCAGACAAGCACAGTCGCCTCCCATTCCGCAGGCGGAGGCTGGTGCACATGGAGTCGACGACAAAGACGATGTCGCTGGTAATGGATCGCCTGCCCCAGTGCAGCGCTACCACCGCAAGCTCGCAATCCTTGTCTCTGAACCGCTCCTCCACCTCGTGTGCTAGATCCTGGCAGTTGGCAAACTCCTCATGCCCAATCCACTGCAACTCCATGCTCGCCGACCAGGGAACCGCCAGCTGTAACCTCGCGTGAATGTCTTCGTCCGCCTCCCCTTCCTCCTCAGGGAGCCCTCCTGCATGGAACGAGGCTCTGATGCCCTCCAGCACACTGCCAGCGTCCATGGCGCAGATGTCCTTCCTGTGCTGCTGCTTCTGCCGAAGCTACCTTGCCTTTCTCCCTCTCCCTACAAGCGCACTCTCTGCCTGTGATTCAAGTCTTGAAGGTCAGAACTCGCAACTTTACTTCTCGCACCCGTCTCCCTCTTCTCCTTCCCTCACACACTCTCTCCTCACTTACGGTCTCTTCTTCTTTCTGTCCTGTTCTGCCCTGCCTTGCCTTGCCCTGTCCTGTCCTGTCCTGTCCTGTCCTGTCCTGTCCTGTCCTGTCCTGTCCTGTCCTGTCCTGTCCTGTCCTGTCCTGTTCTCTTGTCTTGTCTCGTCTCGTCTCGTCTCGTCTCGTCTCGTCTCGTCTCGTCTCGTCTCGTCTCGTCTCGTCTCGTCTCGTCTCGTCTCGTCTCGTCTCGTCTCGTCTCGTCTCCTCGCACAGCAGTAATTGTCTCAGGCAGCCAGTTCTCCCGCCATTTCCACAATTCGTGTCATCAGCAACCCCTCCCAAGGAAGAAGATTTACCGAGTGACACTCTAATTGAATAGCCTATAGGTGCCTGCTAGCTCCTAGGACCCCCATCCTCATAATCAAATTAAATCGAGGCGTGTTAGGCTCTCGAGGGGATTTTATTTGGGATGAGAAATCAATGCTGATCAATGGTGCGCGTTCAAACGCTGATATGTGACATGTTCAAGTTTGCAACATCGATCATGTGCAAACTGTTGTATCGTTGCTATGAGGGCAAACTGTGTATTGTTGCATGAATTGCATATCTTATTTCTCCATCTCTTCCAACCACACATGAACAGAACAGTTTGTTGCATGCCCCCCCCCCCCCCCCCAGCGCATCATTGCTCAATGTGCCCAACTCATGGAGGATGAGAACTTTATGCACTGCACATCAAACTATCCTCTCAGGTCACATCGCGTTGACAGATCGAACATTCCATCCGATAGAAAGGTGTAGAATTGTCAGGTTCAAGCTTTTCCAGCAGCGATATGGCAAAAAAAATTCATCTTGTGCACACATGAAGAGCCATCGGAGATGCAGTTGTGTTGTATGGTTTGAAGTTCTTAAAAGCTTTATCATTTGAAACAATACTATAAAACAAATCCCTAGATTCCAAAAATTCTTCCGCCAAAAATTAATGCACCCAGCAAATCTCAACTTGCTGGAAGTCTTGGACCTTGGACCTCTTCTCAACATGCTCAATCACTTCGTTGAACAAGTCATCATCGTTCCATGAGTATGATCTGCAGGAGAGCTCTGGAAAGCTGCTCTGCTCTGGCACTTCGGCGGCCACATTGGAAAAGATTTCGAAGTGCGAGTTCTCATAACAGTCGTGCTTGACGAAGAGATCTTGAGCGAAAGGATTGCGAGGCTTGCTCTCAGACTTCTTGGTCTCGACGGGACTGCCTGAAGGGCGCTTGCGGGAGTACGGCCATTTTGCGAGCCCAACTCGTCGGCACGCATTCTTCAACGCGGTCAGCGAGATGCCGAGCTGCTGCGCTGCCTCAGTTTGTCTGAGATGGAAGAGGTTGCTGATCTTCGCCATGTCGAGCGTGATGGGCATCTTGAACTTCTCGATCTCTCCTTTTCTCTTTCTTGGGAAAACTTCGGCTATCTGGGGGCTGATCATGGTAGCTTGAGGGTATGGAATCGAGCAAGGAGATTGAATGTAGGTTGTCGGGCAAGGCGACAATGGAAAGGAGCAAGGGCGAGAGTGAGTAGAGAAAGAAAGTTCCTGGAGCTGAAACAGAAGAGGAGGAGGAGAAGGAGTACAAGATCTCGTGCGGGGTTAATGCGAGGATGGATAATGGAGATGGAGACGGAAACGAGTGCGTTCAAGTAGGAAAAGGTCGGGCCCTGTAAACCCGACCAGTGGGTGGGGGTACTGCAAGAGGTTAACAACATTTCGTACGTCGATATGGGGGGTATGGTGAGGGGATCTGTAGGGTGGGGGTTGTTTTTTCATTATTGCCCCACTTCTGTTCCTGTGCTGGGGTGGGTCATCTATGTGCGTGACTGCTAACACTCCGGAAGGGGGTTTACTTCAAACTTTATCGATTTGCCCCGTAGGGTACAGTACCCTACCTTACCTTTTGAGCTTAAAATAATGATAAAACCACGGGTACAAATCTTCCAGTTGTAACAGAACAACGGGTACAAGGTTTGCCTCCTTGCAAATCCAAAGAAGTTGTATTCCGCAAGGCCCGGAGTTGCCTGGTGTTCTGCAGGAAGAACATTTCATCACGGGGGGGGGTGGGGGTGTATTGAAAATCGAGTACACCGGTATATTTCTATGACAAAATAGGGGTGGAGGTGTGTACCTGCGGGCTGTGACATGCATCGTGCCGTAACCCCGCATTGGACAATCGGAGCGCCGACAAGGATGTCACCTCTTTACTACAAATTGATGAACATATGAAAAAACTTCATTTCGTATTCTGGAACTAGCCAAACCCTTTGAGACTTCGGCCGAGTCCGGGGCCCAAGGGTAAATCACACCGTTTCGACAACGTCTCCCTTATCTGACTGATTGCCTGTCACGGCTGTCGAAGGTAGACCGGTACGTCGACGTGTTTCTAGAGGGTGGTCAAACATTTGACCAACGTGCTGACAGGATACGCGTGATGGCCTTATGGACCCTTACAGGGGCAGTAGGCTTAGGGCCCTTACATGAGACCTCTAGGAACAGTTGGAACTGATGAGGGGTAAAGCTGCGTAAAGTACCACCCCTCTGTACCCTCCAAGGGGTTAAAGTCACCCCTACCCACTCTTTTGTCGTCATGATCTGGGTCAAAGAGGGGTATAGACACAAGCACCACTACCTCCTCGTACGCACTCTGCCTGGCTAATCGAACCATTTTGATCCGACTGCATCATACAAAGCTCCTGTAGAGTGGACTATGGACCACCCACAGGTTTTCCACGAAATACCACCCTCCCTCACTAGAATACGTCCCATTGTCCCTTTTTATACCCTCTTCAGTGGTCGGAGCGCCGGCAGTTTAGCACGAGCAACCGGAGCTGCCGTGACATCCAAAATCCCGTGACAGCCAACCTGCCGTGCCAGAGCCGTGATGAGTCCGTGGCCCATTCAGTTACACCCCCCGTTGCTACTTGTCATCACTGAGCTTTTGATGAGTGAAACTTGAGTCCCCGTCCGACCGTCCGCCAACGGGCCCGGCCGGCGGCCGCGTCTGCGGCCGGGCGAAGGGCCACCGGGGACTGAGCCTGCGTCGGCCTGGGCCGGGGGCCCGGTGCTTCAATCAAACCGGACCATGCGGCGCCGGGCCCCCCAGTCATCAATTTTGATATGGGCCATGCACGTGAAGTGTTGAAGCATGAAGGATGGAGCGGAGACAAGGGGAAGAGGACAAGAGGAGGAGATGAGAGGAGATAAGAGGAGAGTCGGTGAGAATAAGAGGAGAGTCGGTGAGAAAAGAGCAGAGAGAGGCGGGAAGGGGAGAGGAGAGGAGAGGAGAGGAGAGGAGAGGAGAGGAGAGGAGAGGAGAGGAGAGGAGAGGAGTGGAGAGGAGAGGAGAGGAGAGGCGATGAATGGGGCGAGGAAGTGGAAGGGGCAAGGGAGGGATGGGGCATCTGCACTTGAGTAGCGTGGAAGGAATCAGAAAGCAAGCAATGGCTTGTGCGTGAGATAACGAGACTTTGATATGCAAACAGATATGCATAGACAGATACCGATGTACAAGTAGTAATAGAGAGGTATGTACAAAAATATGAAGAGACAGATAACGAAACCGACCGACAGGCGTAAAGGCAGGGACAGAGGCAGAGGCAGTCACAGAGAGACTGAGATAGAGAAAGCGGCAGATGATGGTTTGATGGATATGTTAACTCTGAAGATTCTCTGTTGATCATTGCTTCCGATCTTGTCCTTGTTTATTATGTGAGATGTTTCGATTTGGTATGCGATGTTGCAGCATTTCCATCGATTGGTCTGACATTCACTGAAACCTCGCTGAGAAGGCATCAGCTTGTTCTTCGCTACCTCCTTGCAATTCCGAACTCCTTGCGACAACATGGGAAAGGCGCTTGGCTTCAGGTAGGGAACAACGAAGGCAGGGCTCGTGCGAATGCTTCTTTGTTGCAACTGTTTCAGTCAAGCAGCTGTCAAGCTGCTTTCATGTTGCCTGATCGTTTGTATTCTTTCGTTCTCCACTCCATCCTGTGATTGGCACATGGCCATTTGACCCTGCCAGCCTCACTACAACCCTGGCTCCCTGCCTCCCTGCTTTTCTCCCTTGTTTTCCTCCCTCCCTCCTTTCCTCGTTACCGCCTTCTTTCCTTCCTCCCTCCCCCACCATCCCTCTCTTCCTCTCCTCTTTCCTGCCCCCCTCCCTGCAGCTTTTCTCTTCCTTATCGTGCTGGTCGCTAATGCTATCTGTTCCACGGCTCTCTCGCCCTACTGACTTTGTCGCAGGTATGCTGGCAAAGGCCCAGGAATCCAAAAGAGCTCAAAGATGGCGCGAAAATATCTTGTTGCAAACAAAGTGAAGACTGGAAAGATGTCGGTAAGTTTGCGCTCGTGCTGAAAGTCTCAGTTGTCATTCCAGCTTCACTTGTTTGTTTTGGTAATTGTTCTGTATTGTGTTTTCTATTGCAATTTGGCGATGAGAAATGAAGGATAAATCAGATGTAGCATTGAGATCAGATGCAAACTGAGAAGATGACAGTCTAGAGAAAAGATGAAGATGGCAGTCTAGAGAAAAGATGATTGGTTTTGTAGAGAAACTAAGGGTGTTTTCTATTCATCGTGATGATGATAACTTTGATGATGATGGAGGAAATGCTGGAACAGTGAGTTGATATATGTTAGCGTTCTTGACGACCTTTTGACAGGACCTTGACTTTGGGATTGAAGCTGCGCCCAAGGTGAGTCGAATTTCTCCCTATTGTTGATTGTCATCAGTCGATTGTACAAAGACGATGTTCATCTTGTGTTTCTGTTGTGGTTTGCTAACACACCCGAGTTGAGCATTCCTGTCCTGCAGTGCAAGCTTGCTATGAAATCTTGCTCCTTTTGCTCTTTTCCTCACTTGCCTTCATTCCTATGCGTTTGTCTTCTGATTAAGATTTTGTCTCTATGTTTGTAATCTGACGACAATCGTCAGATTCAGAAAGAGCAAGCTGAAACAGGACTCAACAACTCCAAGAGGTTAGTTGCTGTGAGCATGCAAATGGCCTTAGATGTTATGTTACAGCAACAACCACTACCATCATCGCCATTCTTCTCCTGCTCCTGCTCCTCTTGCCACTGGTGCTCCTGCTCCTGCTCCTGCTCCTGCTCCTGCTCCTGCTCCTGCTCCTGCTCCTGCCTCTCTTGCCCCTCCTGCTCCTGCTCCTGCTCCTGCTCCTGCTCCTGCTCCTGCGCTCCTGCTCCTTCTCATCACCATCACCATCACCATCACCATCACCATCACCATCACCATCACACCTGTGTGCGTTATCTCGATCTTCATATTATGTTAGTCTTGGCCTTCTGCAATGAAGACGTTTGGGGATATTGTTGTGTGCTCTACGTTATATACCTCATCATCACTGATTACGATTTATGCAATGGAATCATACGCAATTGCAACATTTGTGATTTACATGGTGCAATGTTTGTACCAACCCTGCAGCTCGACTTTAAAATCTTGTTCGCTCCTGAAGTACATCTTTCCATGAGTTGCTGATATTTACATTCTATGTGACATCCTTGTTATGTGACTTTCTACATTCCTCTTGTAAATGCTGGATTTCAGCGCCTCAAGCTCCAGTACGAAACCTGACAAATCTAAAGAAGACTCCGGTAATCCAACCTTCTTCTCCCCCCCTTCCCTCATTTGCTGCTCGAGCCACTGTCCTCTCCTCTTCTTCTGCCTTCTCGCATGCTCTGCCTTTCTGTACGCGTTCTGTCCTTCCTCTCCTCCTATCCACGCTCTGCTCTGCTCTGCTCTGCTCTGCTCTGCTCTGTTCTCTGACTTGTTTTGCAGGGAACTACAACGCTCCAGTAATCACCACCAAGCGCGAGAAGACGCTGGCAGAGCAGGTGACAAGAGAAGCGGAGGAAACTAGCTTACGAGAGTTCAGGTTGGAGAGAAAGAATATCAGGAGAGAGTCAAGGATGCGGATGAATTTCGAGCTGCCAAGAGTTTTGCAGAGGAGAAAACAAACGCGAAGAAGAAGAAGAAGTGCGAGCCGTGTTGATTGACAGAGAGAGGAGAAAGTTCTTTTATTCTTCTCGTGTATTCTTGTCTTGTGTATTATGCAGACATAGATCTAAACTTGAAATGATGAAAGATTTTGTACAAATAAACTTGTTCTTTTGTCCGCACAACAACTTCTCGTCTCATCTATCCTTGTCCCCCTGTTGACACTTGCAGTCCTCTCACCTTGTTGCCTATTCAACCATCACAGTTAGCCTTCGGTGGCATTTTTGAAAATATAAAAATTCCAGAGACGTTTTAACTATCTGAACATGGTTGAAAGACTGCTGAAAACAAGATTATATAGAATGAACCATTGTACTTGTAAGATGATATTAAAAGCTCGGGCCTATGTCAACTCGTTTAAACTATCATAGAGCAAACCATTCAGGGAATCTTGCTATATTTCTACATCCTTTTCACCAACTCACTGCGCACTTTGCAGCGCCTGATATAAACATCTTTTTATCACGCAGCTCCAAAACATCCTCCAGCACGATGAAGAGATTGGTAGAATATTTCATTATTTTCCGAATTTCTAGAATACATGATATGGCAAGCACCAATTACAGACAAAGTTACAAACAACACAAAAGTCGAACAACAAACAGAAACATTCTCACGCCCTACATTTTGGACTTCAAAGCTCCCAGGTCAGACATCTCACTCCTGAACACCAGGAGAGGGTTGAGTAGAGGCAGGGTGGGCCCGGTGAAGGGAGGAGAAGGAGGAGTCTGAGGAGACAGGGGCAAGTCAGGCACGTGCGAGGATACCAAGGCGAGCTAGTCAAACAGACATGTCAGGACGAATAAGAAGGAAAGGAGAAGAATTACAAGCTGCTGCTGCTGAATAATGCGCAGAAGTATCTCGGACCGGCTATTGATCAAGCTTTGCAGGAGAGAAATGTTGGCAGTCTCGAGGGATTCAACATCACTGAAGTGAACATTCTGCCATGTTGTTACAAACTCACATGTAGCCAACACAACCATCTTCACCCGTTCCACCTTGACAGCCGACAGATCGTCCATTTTCTCCCTCTTGACTCCCTTCTGACATGTCAACACAAACAGCTTCGGAGAGCAAAACACACTCACTCTCGACCCTCTCCCTTCATCATTGTCGGATGAATTGCTTACTTCGTTCTTGCTCTCCTCCTCCTTCTTCTGCAAGTACTTGGTCTGTCGACGGCTGATGACGCGTCAGTCAGACGACCTCAACTGAGTTCATCGCATCTCACCCATCCCATTGGAATGTTCTGCTGTTCTCGAAGTCCAACCCATGACTTGCTCTTCGCGTGTTCTAACAGTCATGTCAGGTCGATCGCATCTGAAAGGAGGACGGCAGGACGGTACAAGAAATAGTGGAAGGGAAAGCGAGGAGAAGAATCGCAGAGGAAGCGGTTGAAGTAGAGGGCAGAAGGACAGAAGGTAGGGGGGGGGGGAGGAGGAGGGTGGAGGTTAAGAGTGGGAAGCCACCTCAGTAGGAAAGTAACCAAGACGTCGTAGGATCTGGAACATGGAGTTGGGCTTGTAGACCTTGCCTTCCTTCCCTTGCATGAACCACTGCTTCCTCCTCTCAGCCCACTCCTTCTCCTTCCCGTCGCAGACTTTCCATCCGAAGATCCCTGGCAAACGTCTCAGGCTGGTTGCTAGAGCCATTGCCTCTCTCTCTCAGTCACCTCCGAGCTTCTCGGGCACATCGCCATACTGCAACTCTACGATCTCCTCCCGGTCAAGCTGCATGATGAACTTCAAGAACGAAAGGCTGCCGCTCCCATGCTGCACGGCTCGTCTCAGTGACCCATGACCAGCGCTCGGTCTTGTCACCTGCTTGCATCCTCGAAACTTGAGGAAGTTGGGTTTGAACTGATGGCGAGAGTTCTCCTGATCCTCCTCCACGCTCTCACTCTCACCTTGTCGGAACTCAAGATACTTTCTCTTCCTATCGCCCTGCTCCTCTTGCGATGCTGGGCGATTGGCCTGGGAGAAAATCTTCAGAGTGCGACATTCGCGCAGTTGAGGAGCAAACCTTCTCTTGACAAACTTCAGAGAAGCTTCTCCTCGCAAGAATCGTCTCCAGGCTCATGGGTCGTCTCCTCCTCCGATGACTCACTGCGCGCACGTGTAAGTCGCTGGTCATCGCTCGCTGGATTTGGCGCGCGAGTATGCAAGGCTGAAGTCCCGTGGAGGCGAAAGGGGAGGGATGCAGCAGAGACGGGAAGTGATGGAGCATGCCAGTCGGAGGAGGACGAGTGCTGCGATCAGTAGGCAGTTTGGGAGGGGTAGAGGAGGAAGCAGGTTTTGTGATTTCCGGGAGGGTACGTATGCCGAAGCATCAGTCCTCATGTCATTCAGAGCAGTGGTCGAGGATCTCAAAACGGGCAAGAATGCAACAGATTCATGGCGAGTCACAAGAAACAAGAACAAGGCAGTCGATGTAGGTCATGAATCGATCAATGCGTACAAGCATCGGCAACAGTCTATCATGCGGAAACAACGGAAGTTGATTATTGGGATACAACCTCTTTCCTCCTACGAAAACACGAGTGCACAACACAATGGCAGGCACGACGCAAGATGAAGGGAAGAAGGAAACATAGAGAAAGGATGGGTCCTTGACAGCAGCGCGTGCGAGCAGGGGGGATAGTCGGAGCGGGAAGGGCATGGAAGCAGGAAACGTTTGTGTACATGGGGAGGAACAAATGATTCTGTGGGGCCCAATGGACGATAGTACTGGACGGGTGGGTGGGGTCATTAGTACATGGGTAGTCATTCTTTGGGTGGGTAGTAAAGGGTCGAGAACGGGGTAGTAGAGTTGTTCCCATTCTTTGCCTGGAAATGTACATTAAAAAATCATTAAAGGAAAATGGGGGTGGGGGTGGTATTGTTGATATCGGGATCATGGGTTTTATGACTGGTAGGAAAGTAGAAATCTGGAACTACCCGGTAGTTTTAGAGTGAATATCGGTCGAATGCAGGGGTACTTGTTTGTCCAGTCGACAAGGTGGGGTCTGAGTGAAGTTCAAAGATCAGTGAGTCGTGGGGTGGGGTACAGGAGATTTGTAAGCTCACGAGCTCGGGGCCGGGGTGTCCAGGATATTGATGATGTGGGTGGGTGGAAGAGGTGGGGTGGGGTAGGTTATGGGTAGGTTATGGGTAGGGTGGGTAGGGTGGAAACTTACGCATCGCCTTTCTGAGGCTCCTGGGAAGAGATGAGAAGAGGAGGAAATATACATGTGGGGTGGGGTGATATCAAGCGATAATGGAGGGGTGGTGAGTCGCAGAGGCCGCGGATCTCTCTTCATTCAGTGCCCTTTCTAAAACATTTTAAGGGCACGGGCGTGATGAAGGGGGTGATGAAGAGGGAGGGTGGGTGATGAAGACGGGGGCGATGAATGGAGAGGGTGGGTAATCTGTAAGAGGGGGTGATGAAGAGAGAGAGTGATTGATAAAGACGAGGGTGATGAAGACCGGGGTGGTGGAGAGCGAGGGTGGGTGATAAAGAACGAGGTGTTAAACAGGGTGGGTGGTACTCGGGTAGATAAATGCACGAACGGGTACAAATGCTTACTAGGGGTGGGTGGTTATCATTACGACGACTGGAGACTTCTAAAGGAAAGAAAAAAAAGGAAACCTGGGAAAAAGGGGGTGGGGTGGGACCCTTGCATTTTACATTTTAAAAGTTGAGGTTTTAAAGGGTGCGGATCGTGATTCGCCGGTACAAGCAGGTGACGTTCAAAACTATTTTAAAGCCCTGCAGGTGAAGGGGTTGGAGCCCCGAAATCGCCGTGACGACCCCATCCTTCAACCGTCCTGACCTTTCGCATCAAGGGACAACTCTTTCAAAGTTTGAACTCCGCTGTATCAGGGGTACTTGGTGGCCGAATGGTACAAAACTGAGGGGTGGGCTCAGTTGTGGAACCTGTGTAGTAAGAACTCTGCTGACGGCAATGGATGACTTTTGAGTTCGAAGGGCCGTAAAAAGAATCCCGTGACACACATACCCACCCGACATATCCGTACTACCCCACCCACCTCATTTTTCAGATCCCTTCAGATCTTAGAGCTTTTTTTTTTGCCTTTTTTAACCCAAAACCCTGTTTGCGACAAGGGAACGCGGGCGAATGAACATGGCGAGGGAGAGCGAGAGAGGAGACGCGAGGAGGGAAGAAGCTGAGGATTGTCTTTGCAACAGCAAGTCAGAGATGAGAGAAGCAGCTTGAAAGACGTTGATCGGAGGAAGCGGGAGGGCATAGCTGTAAGTAGTGAATGAGAGATATGCCGCAGACGGCCGAAAACACATTTGTACGTGGACACGCGATATCAAACAAGACAGTAGAAAGAGACACCAAGATAAAACCATTGTGATGATATCCGAAGGCTACTGAGGAGGGGAGTGGCAGGGGCAAAAGAGAAGCGAGTAAACTTTAATTGTTTTAGTGAGGTAGACTGGTAGTCAGTACAGCGGCAGAGAGAATGCACAGCAAGCGATTCAAACGTGCATGCCATTGCTGGAAAATGCACGCGAACACCGACAAGAACATACACATCTGAATTCGCAGGAGCCTGGAGGTGTTGTGATTTGTCAGGTTTCTGTCTCTTTGTTGTTTCGTTTCGTTGTCCTGCCTATGGTTGACACGCGATATTATGTTGTGAGCAAGTTGCTGTATGTTGAAAGATTTCTTTTTCTGGCAAGAAGTAGTCGTTTGTTGAGACAGGAAGTGGGGTGGGCAAAAGACGTGAGGGTGACACGATTGGATATCACTGATGTGTATATGTTGTTGTTCACTCTCACGACCTGAAGGAAAATGAGGTGGAATTCACATAAACGTTGTTCGTTTGCTGTGTACAATAAACAAGACTACTCGAGGCATTGTTTATATGTAGGAGCTTGCTACTCGCTAGTTATCTTGGTTTGCATTTCAAGTTTGCTGCCACAACGATTGTTGCTCTTGCTCTCGCTCTCGCTCCTCCTCCTCCTCCTCCTCCTCCACCACCTTCTGTTCATCTTCCTCTTCGTTTGTAGTGTAGAAGCCATCTATACATCTATACTTGTTTTGCTGATGTCCGCGTCCTGGGCATTGTTTGTACGCATCTGCAACAAATCTGAGAAAGACGAAAGTTAGGGAGGAAGACAAGGCGTTGGTGATTTTCACTCGACACTCTGATGATCAGTGGATGTGACTTCTTGCTTCGACAATTCCTACCCTTCGTTTGTGGGTCTATTTGTAAAACTGAAACATTGCCGAAACGAAGAATGCCTTGCGAACATTGCCGAACGACAGCTTGTTCAATCTTTGATCAGCAAATACCTCCTGTCCTCCAAACCTACAAGCGCTGAGATCAGGTGAAGCCTTGATAGCAGATTTCTTTCCTGTCCATTCCACTCTTTTCAACATGGTCGCGGAAAATGCTATCAGCCTTCGAGGTGCCCTTGGAGGAGCGAGAGAGAGGGAGCGTGGGAGCGAGGGAGCGAGAGAGAAATAGAGACAGGGACAGAGACAGAGACAAAGAGAGATAGAAACAGAAAGAGACGGAGAGAGACGGAGGAAGAGACAGACAGACAGACAGACAGACAGACAGACAGGAAGAGAGGAAGAGAGGGAGAGACAGAGAGAAAGAGAAATAGACACACAGACAAAGAGAGACAGAGACAGAATTGGAGCCGGACAGACAGAGACAGAGACAGACAGAGAGTGAAAGAGCAGATATCACTTGTGATGTGAGACTTGTTCCACAACGTAGCAAGGTGAACTTGGAAGAATGAAGAATGAAGCTAGCTTTGTTTATGTATCAGCAGTAGCAAGATAACGTATGAGGGGACTGATGTGAAAGAGTTGGTGAGGTAACGAGCAGATCTACCGGCGGTTGTGGAACAAGTCTCACATCAACTTGGACGTGGCGATGCTCTCCTGGCTGGCACACTCAGATGAGACCTGTTGCGTACACACTAAGAAACCTCTAGCTCATCCTGATTCAGATGTTTGACAATTTGGTGAGTGTTGTTCTACGATCAAAATGATTCTTTGGAGACAAACGTTCAGTTTTGTCATTGTAGGAATGAAACATCCTTGTCGTTGTATGTGATCAATCAATTATCACATCCAGGAGACTAAGTGTAGCAACCTTCGTCGAGTGAGAGCATCAAAACGTTGGCATGTTCAAACATGCAAGAAGATCGAACACATCTCTTTGAAAGAATACTTTTCTTCATTGTAAGCAAAACAGGTAAGACAAGTACAGCAAGGTATCAAGCCTAACTATCAAGGTAACTACATCTATACAGTGTCGCAAACGTACGTTTGCAATTTGGGGATTCCAGGGCCCAGGGTCAACGCAGAATCGTCCTCCTCTCCCATCTCCACTTTCTTTCGCTTGCTCATTCGCAGCCCGTCGATGAACAAGCACGTTCCGGGTGTGAAGGACTTCACCTGCCGCGCAAGGGTCGACGTATGCCTCTCCTCCCTGGGGTGGAGGATCGGCCACGAGCTCATCCACTGCCCCCCGTTGAGACTGTCCATGCTGTCGTTCACCGAATGCTTAGAGAAGGATGTCGACGGAGTTCGGTTCACCATGGACACCGTCGAGTTAATGGAGTCAGTCCAGAACGGGTACTTGTACCAGCGGTCTTTCGCCATCCTCGCCATATCCGAGTTTCGAAGCTGTCGAGGCCGATAGACCTTGTGGTTGATTGGAGAGAGGCCATGCAGTCCTGATGGCCCGTGTAGATGCAGGTCATGCGCGGGCTGCTCGCTATCAGGTGCTCGTACGTGGAGTTGCAAGAGTCCATGGGTTGTCGGCGGAAAGGAATGTCCGAGTCCTTTATGATGCACGAGTCGAAGTGCACAGAAGCCATGTGCTTGATCTCTAGAGAAGAAACTTCCTTTTCTCTGAGCCTCTTCCGATTGCACTGGTCATCAGAAGCAAGGCAAGCCATGCCTCCTAGGCCGAAACAAAGATCGAGTACAGCTCAACTCTCAGCGCATGAAGTAACTTGTGGATGAGTGAACTACTAACACTGCAAGAGAATTTTGCAGGAGTTGCCTGTGGAATAATGAACTGGGCGACAGAGATTGTAGATGACAGACCACTGTTCAATCTGTTTCTTCTGATGAGTCGTTCAGGAGCTGATCGAACCAAGAGAGCAGGTCAACGAATCAGGACGAGCAAGTTGATACTGAGTGGTGGTAGAGAGTTGGAGGAGGAGGAGGAGGAGAAGGAGGAGGAGGAGGAGGAGGAGGAGGAGGAGGAGGAGGAGGAGATGGGAGGTACAAAGCACAGAAAGGAGATATGCAGGTGCAGGTGCAGAAGGAGCAAGCAGGTGAGGTCTTATGTCGGATAGCAAGGAGGCGAAATGTAGGAAGGAGGGGTAGGGAGTTACCCTACCCCCTTCTAACGACCACCCTGATGGCTGACATGGTAGAAGTGGTGGGTACTGCTGGGAATTCTGGAAATAAGGTGGGTACTGGACGATCTGGTAGCTATTGATGGGTTAGCATGACCCCCTTTTGTCCCGAAAAGTACCGGTACATGTTTTGAAGAGGTTTGATTCTTTAGGTGGGGCGATGACCACCCTACCCCTCCATGTGAGTGCCAATACGAGTTCATGACATTTGCGCAAAGGGGGTCTTGAAAAATGGATGGAAGGATCTAGAAGTAATTGCAAAAGATGCTTTTTCGATAATTACTATCAGAGTCGGGGAATGTGCAAAAAGTGTATCGATAAAACTAAGAATCGGCAGGGTAGCACCTTTGGCCTATCACATTGACACTCAATCGCATCATCGTCGATGTTGGAGTGGGTGGAAAGTACACGTACACAGGAGGGTCGAACAGGGGTAGGTGGTAGAAGCAGAGGTGCTCATTTATTTGAAAGAAACATTGAAATTGCTTCAGAATATTTGAATATTTCTGGCAGTGTTGATTTAAATTCTTTCTACATTGCCTTGGACAGGGCATGGCTCCTGCATGCCCTGGGAGGTCCGTCAACTGGTTTAAGACGGAAAAGATCTCCTTTCAGAAATGAAAATAATCTTTTTCAAGGAATGGTTATCCAGTCGAAAACTCCAGAGAACAGTGGAATGGTCCTGTGACCATGGCGTAAGATCGCTCGCAAAAGGCAGAGTACTGGAAAATGTTGCTCAAAATTTCTATTCTTGAGAATAAATTTGAAGTTTGAAGATAAAAAAAACACATTAGCTTACCTAATATCCCCGCACGGCCTGCAGGGACTTGTGGCGCACCCTAGACAGTCTCATGCGGGGAGGTCACGAGGATGCTGAGATGGTCACGTTACCGCTGCTTTACAAGGGCCGTGTGTGTAAGACAGCCCGCCTCAAGTAAAAGGACATTAAGAAGATCAATTCTAATACAGGTCCTAGTAAATAACTGATGTCCCCTGAGTACCTGTCGACTCTGGACCATTCCATGCTTCATTCCAAGTTCCACGGGCCGTGAGAACTGGCGAGGGGCATTTTTTGAAAGCAGGACTCCCCTGATCACGGCCCGTACTGATTTCAAGTTAACTACCGCCGCCTGGGCGGCCCCGGCGGCCGGGCGCGGCGGGCCGGCGCACTGTCACCGTGGCACTGTCCGGCCCGCCCGCCGCCCGGTCACCGCGGCCGGGCCGCCCCGGCGAGACTGACTCGCCGAGTCAGCCCGGCCGCCGGGCTCGGAAAGCGGCAACGCACAGGCTGCGGCATCCGGGCCGGGCTCACTGCCCGTGCGCGGCTGCGCGCCGCCGTGATCGGGCCCGGGGGGGCCGAAGCCTTGAAAGGGCCTTTCAACGGCAGCCCGGCCGCCGGCCGCCCCCAGGCTTCGGATCCGAGGTGACTCCGGACGACGGTGCCGCAGTGCGGCGGCCCGGGAAGCGGCATACTACTAGGCCGCTAGGCTATGATACTCAGTGACTAGTGCACCGTGATTACTAGCGATGAGAATGATCGGATGCGCCCGGGGGGCATCGTCACCCCGGGCCGTCATCGGACTCCGGGAGCATCCTGGCGGCGGCCCGCCAGTGGTCTGGCCACCGGCGTGACCGGCCGGGCCCGCCGCGGGGGCGCGGCCGCCGCAGTGCGCCGACGGTATCATTCAACTGGCTACAGGCTGACTGTGACCGTTTGAACCGTTCGGACTCCCGGGAGTCACAGCCTCGGCCTGTCGAGCCTTCAACTCAGTTACGGAGTCACACTACCGTACGGCCGGGCGGCCCCGGGCCGACTCGGACCGGGCCGGCGTACTAACTTCAAGCCACGGCCCTAGTGACTGAGTCGGAGTATTCCGACCGTACCGTGCGTCCCGGCGGGCACAGCCAGGCCGCCGGACTCCGGTCCATCCGATGATGAGCGGCTGGTACCAACGTGACTGTGGCCGGGATAAAGTTTTACTCAAAGTTAAGTTAAAAATCAGTACGAGGACAATCAGGCTTGACCCGTGGCAGTCCAGGCTGCGACGCCGCACCGTTGCCGTGATTTTTACTGATCATCGGATTCCGAGTCATAAGAGAACTACAGAGCCTTTGTTGATGTCTTGCAACTTATCATTGAGGCACATTCTTTGCTTCAATAGCTGAAGGAAGAACGTCGGAATCCCAGCTTCACCTTCCTTCCCAGGAGCGAGCACCAGATCTCGGAACTGCACAATGATCGGTTTGTCTGGAAACAAAAAGAACTCGTGATACGCGCGAGCTGCACACTCGAGTAGGCTAGAGTCATGGTGCCCAACGTTCTCCATCAGTGCGAGGCGCCTCCGGTTCTTTCCTTGCTCGTGTATGGCAACAGCATGCTTGTAGTGGATCATCTCATCTCTCATCCCATGCACGATGACGCAGGGGCAGGTCAGACCCCTCATTTTCTCTACGTTGTTCCAGTCTGAGCACCCGGTGGATAGCAGCGATCCGAGGTTCCCAGCAACGTCGCGCGCGACGTCTTGGATGGAGGTAAAGGGGGAGATGGCAACGATTCCTCCAGCCAGTCCCGAGCTGGCGACATGGAAGGCTGGGCCTGTGCCGATGGATCTGCCCCATATCACAATCTGCTGGGGCTGCAGAGACAGGAAGTCTGCCGCCCACAGACATGCTGCCATGACGCTCTCGTTGAGCCCCTTGGAGGAGGGGCAGCCCTTGCAGGCGCCATACCCGGGGTACTCGGGGACGAGGACGTGGCACTGCAGCGCCTGCCGCAGGTACTCGGCCGTAGGATAGACGCTCTTGAGGTCCTCTGCGTTGGCGTGGCAAAAGATCACCAGCGAGGTCGAGCTGCTCCTCTGCAGGAACAGGCATGGGACTTCGAAATCCTCGTCCTCCGAGGAGCGGATGCAAATCAGCTCCTCCTGCCGAAAGTCTTTGAAGGTGTACCTGCTCTTGCGCGACCCGGCAAAGATGTAGTCGTCTAGGATGTGCTTGCTGCCAAAGACCTTGTCGAGCAGATTCATTCTGTTCGTCCTGCTCCCTTCGATTCAAAGGTTCTTGCAAATATGTCCAGCCTTCTTAGTTCGCTAGGTCAGCTGAGACTTTTCCGCAGTAAGCAAACTTCTCACAACCCGAACCTATAGGACCCGAACCTGTCTGCCATGTATAATCCACTCAATCATTCCATTCTTGTATCATGATGTATCAATAGCTTGCTTCTTAGTATGAGTCCGCACTGATTTCTTGTCAGACCTCCTGTGTCTCGTGTGACAAGCTGTGCCCAACGATCGCAAAACAAACTTAAGAGATTCAAACGCCTTATTTCCGCTGTTGTGATCCTCCTCCAGCAAACTCAATAATGCTTCCTTGCTGGAATGAACAACTCTCGTGCTGCTTCCCTCCTCTCGTTGACTTTAAGCTGACCTCAGGACACGCCCTGTGCTCCCCTCCCTTCCTCTTCCCCTTCCCGCTCGCTTCTCCTTGCTGCCGGACTGGGCGATTTCAATTTCCCGGCCGTGGTGCCCTCCTGGTAGGTACGGTAGTATGGCACCAGGGGTGGGGTAGTAATGGTCATGAAAGGAGGGGTGCGATCTACTTTCCATACCAAGTTGAGCTCCGATAGTATGGTAGTACCCCCCCTATAGACCCTCAGAGTACAGGTCAGGTCCGGGGCCTCCCGGAACTTCGGAAGCTCCGATGAGGTCGGAGTACCCCCCCTTCCCAGACTAACTTCAGTCACGGTAGCCTCCTCTACTCTCCCGGTTGTCCTCGTACTGATTTTAACTTAACTTTGAGTAAACTATACGGCGGCGGTGGGGGGAGCCTGCCATGCCGAGGGCCTCAAAGCCAACCGTTGCGGAACCGTTGGAGTCACGGGCCACGTTTGAGTGAGTCAAGTTTCAAGGCTGCGGCTGCGGCATTTTCAACTCAGTGAGTTCCGGCACTCAGGCTGAAAAACGGTACGCCTACGGTACCGGCGTCGAGCCTGCCTCCCCGGCCACGGACTCGCCAGTCACGGTCAGCTGATCGCCACTGATCGGACTCAGCCTTGGTGCAGGCCCGGGGGCGGCTGGCCGGCCCGGCCCCCGGGGTGCCGCTGTGCGCTGCCCGGGCGAGCCCGGCGGAGGCTGGGCCCGGAGCACACGGTTTGATTATTCACAACTTAAAAACGTCCGAGCCTGCCCTGACTCCGGGATGTGACAAAACTTTGAAAACTCAGTGAGAATCAACGTTGAGGTGGCAGCTTGACGTTCACAAGGCACTACTGAGAAGTGACTGAGGTGTCCCTGGCCCAAGCTCCATCAGTGCTGCAAGGAAGAGCTGCCGGACGGATCTGATCCAGCTGGGAAAGGGACGACAGTCAGTCAGGGCCTGCTGCCCTCCGGAGCCGAGCCTGACCTGCTGCGTGCGATCCTTGAAGGGATGGAGTCGGAGCAAGCGCGAAGGAGGAGCCAGTGGAGGCGCTTCCTGCTGCTGCTGCTACTGCCGAGTCAGACGGTCAGGATAGAAGGCTCAGCGGCTCAGTCGAGCCTGACCTCCTGCGGCGGCGTTGACTTGGAGCGGCATGCTGGTTTTGTGGTGAGCGATGAAGACGAGACCGGGAGAGGAAGAGAGAGAAAAGTGGAGGGGTAAAGAGAAGGGGAGGAGAGAAGAAAATTGGAAAGGAAGAGAGAAAAAGGGGAGAGAGGGAGGGGAAAGGAGCTGCACGGTGGTAGCAAAGTGTGCTGGGTGTGGACAAGATCGGACAGAAACGAAGAAGGCAGGTGAAGAAAGGGGGAAGCGAAGGGGAAGCGAATGAGGAAGGGAGAGGAAGGGGGAGGAAGGGAGAGGAAGGGAGAGGAAGGGAGAGGAAGGTAGGAGAGAGGAAGTAGGAAAATATCCGAAGGGAAGGGTGGTAGAAGGGAGAAGGAGGAGGAGGAGGAGG